TCACACCACAACAGAACTCTGTAATAATCAGTCAAATCCCATGTATTCTTCGGAGACCAGTTAAAGTTACGCTTATGAGCACTTATGGTGGATGCGTTGAATCAACTTAGGTCTAAATTCAAGCTAATGCACCTTATCATCCCTAGTCACGCTGCCTTTAAAAAATGACTTCTACCCACTACAAAGCCGATCTACACCTAGAAGATGGCATCACTTCTGTGTTTTGACAAACTTGATATGAATCTACTTTGAGGGCTGTTAAGAAGCTGGACTCGGGCAAGGCCAAGGTTGACCTGGGCCTGACCTCTTTATGGTAGGTCCAGCTTGCAGGTCCACCAAGAAGGCCCACTCAGGCCTAGAACAACGCCCATGGACCAGTCTGAGCCGATTATGTAGGGAAGCCAACAAGTTGTGTTTGGTTCGGGCCGCTTGGCCGAACTTCTATCACCGAGTCTAGGCCCACCCTGTTATTAGACAGCCCAGGCCCGAGCTTGAGCCCAGCGTTCCTGGGTGCCAAAATTCAGCCCAAAACTAGGCCCTCTCATAAGCCAGATACCCCCAGCCTAGTTGACAGACATTTTGCTTGACCATGCTAATGTTCACAAATATGAAATTGTTTCTTATCACCAGGAGCACATCCCACCAAAACAGTAAATCACTTTGGCTCCACCACAGAACCAATCCTAGGCAACTTAGGAAGCAAACCAGGCATTAATCTAAGATGGACCTAACGAAGAAAAGAGCCGCCACAAACTCCCCAACTATCAATTTCTTCATCTTTTCTAGAAGAAAATGAACAATGGGAAGCTAGAACTTATATGCTGATGTAGATCTAAAGTGGATATATTATCTTTATATGATGATAAACAGAAGCAAAAATCTTACCCATCCAAATGTTTCCACACAATAAATACTTTCTTTTTATTGATGTCATAAGCTCTACTCCTTTTTTGCCATCGAAGGAATCATGCATTCATCTTTCTAACTATTTTCTTGAATGTTTATGCCCTAAATCCACCAAAAAACCCCTACCAACCATATACTCTCACAAACATAATTTCAGCATTCCAACAATCTCCATAATTAAATTGGATCCTCATCAATACATCCTTGAATTAAGGTTGGCTTCCTTCTAAATAACCCTTCTTCCAAAATTTAATTCTCCTGATGGAAAACCTTTCTCAAATGAAACATTGTCGCACTAGTATCCAGAGAAAAGCTACACGCAGCAACATTCCCTGTAATGGTACTTTAACCACCCTCGAAAAATTGCAACATAAACTTCAACAGCATTTCAAGCCCGAAACACTCCATAGACCATATTAAAATCCCACCCCAGGATTCCATGCCCTTCCTAGCAAATTTCCTCAAAAAAATATCTCCTTGTAAATCCTCCTCCCACACTCTCGATGCCAAAATTACCTAGGTAACTAGCATTATCCATCAACCCACACATCTGAAACATAGAAAAACACTAGCTAAACAATCACCAAGGAGATTACAAAAGCTGTGGGTAAACTAGTATCTCCCATACATTCTAGATAAAGGTTTGCCTCACTACTTTCTTTTTTAGTACTTTACCTCACGATTTTCTGAGGTATGTTAAGAATGAAGGCGTGGTGCTTTTAAGTTGTTTCCTAGGCAGGTTAGAAGGGAACTCCATTCCACAATTGATTCCACTAGGCAAACTAAAATTAATTTTGCATTTATGATGTCAATGACTTTATAAGAAATCTGTGAACCAGCTAAGCCAGCAGAACCAGAATTCCATATGCAAATAGAAAAGAAACACATATTACTACATGGATACATGACCCTAATGCAATACAATATTCAGTGATCAGTGTGCATAATGCATATATGACCAAATTTGAAATGTCATTTGATGAATTAACTTGTGATAGAATGCGCTGGAGACAAATTGCCAAAGAAAATGATAACACTCATTAAAATCCAACAAACAACAGAAATACATACTTATCTGAGCATAACCCAACTTCCATTTGACTAACTTTAAACTCAAAACATAATTCACAAACTTGTGCCCCAGCTTGAACTTTTCATCATCAAATAACTCTGCCCATAGATCCTAAGTAACAAGTCCCAGAAAAAGGGGGGGGGGGAACCCAAGTAACAAGTCTAAAAAAAAAAAAAAAAAACGAAGAGCCTAAGTCACAAATGTGTAACCCATAATATTCATTTCAATTGGATCCATCTTTGTACCAAATGCATGCCTGGTTTATGTATTGAATATCCACCTACTAGCCAAGTACTCATATTTACAAAGAGCCAACAAGATATCAAAGATTTCTTTAATAAGTTGAATCTTTCATGCCATCTCAAGATATATATGCAACTTACAGCATTCACCACATTGTTCCCATCTTCCCCTTGGAAAAAAACATTCATAAAACTACCGAAAATGAATTCCACAAATCCAAACCAAAATGGAAGAAGCCTTGATTTACATATGACTTTGTGAATCGGTAAATACCGAAAAGCGTGATTTGCAGATTTACTTTGTAAATCCAAAAATTAACTCTGTAAAGCTTGATACTCGGTAAAATCTATAGACTTACAATGAACTCTGTAAAATCTCAAGAAAAAAAGAACCTACTAAACTCAATGAGAGAGGAGTGCCATACTACAGAGATCCATGATTGCAGAGAGAAACAAGATAGAGCAATACAAAGTGGGGACTAAGGGGGTTTATTTAATTTTATTATGTTAACTGTTGTATTAATAAAGTAAAGTGATTATGGAGTAGATTGTGTGTATATAGTGCATGTACATGATTGGGAATGCCCTCTTGGCAAGTGCCCTGTACAAAAACGCCCAAGGGGTTAAAAAAGAAACAAAACTCTACATCAACACGGCTAAGAAGAGAGAAAAAACTTGGAGTCTCCTACGAGGCCCGAGGATTGTTGAGGCTTGCGCCTTCCCTAGCTAGAGTGTCAGCAGCAACATTTGCTTCCCTAAAAACATGTCTCCAACTGATTCTTAAGGAGCTGCAGATGCGAGCTATTTCATCGAAAATATGCTCAAGTCTCGAAGGGCATGGAGACTCCTTCAAGCAAAGGCAGAGCCTCTGCATTGATAGAGTCCAATAAGCCAATCGGTAAAGAGCATGAAAGGAGGGTGGAGCCTTCAGAGTTTCTATAAATGCTTCTGATGTCAGAGGGGCCTGGTTGACAAGGGAGCAACCATCAAAGTTAAGCTTTAGATGCCCAACTTCAGGTGGCCGTCACAGAGAAGAATGAGATATACTGACGGGGTTTATTGGAGGTTCTTCTCTGCAAAATGAGAGGAAGAGAGAAGCAGTTTCGAAAATGGGGGAGGACATGAGAGAGAGAGAGAGAGAGAGATCCGGTCCGACTTTCCGCGCTAGGAGTGGAAAGTGGCAGTCCAGGATCCCCCTTGAAAGAATTTCTGGGCATGGCTAAAAGAGAGAAGATGAGACAAGAAGTTGAAGCAATAAAGATATGAAATCCAACTCTATAACCCTTAGGAAGGGACGTCCAGCTCTATTGATAAATACGTTGTTGGGTGTGTAAAAGGGAGCTTCAAGTGGGTACATCTTTTAAATTCGTCCCTAAGCCCATTCCTGCATCTTGTGTTCCCTATTAAATAAGCTTAGAGTTCACTACTCAAATTCTTGGATTTGTGAGATTTTGAATATTAAAATAAAGTTTGGATGAAAATTTCAAGAGATTATATTAAATTATCAAACATTTTCCATTTTTACATATTTTCTTCATTTTTTATGATTTCTCCTTCTTTACATTTTTCTAGTTTCTTTCCTTAATATTTTGGATTTTTTAAGCCTTTTTTTAACTTGGTCAGTCCACTCAAGACTCGCCGAGGTGACTCGCTGAGCCCCAGAGTGACCTTGGCTTTTTAACACTAATAAACACAATAGCTTAGTATCCCATGGACTAATAATCACAACTAGGACATATAAGTAAATTTCTCAAGAAAAAATATAAGGCTATCAAAAACCTTTCATGTTCCTAAACAATCATTCAATATGCTTCAGAAAATTACTACGGAAGAAAGTAATATATTAATAATTGTAGACATAATAGAAGTATTCTCACATGTGCTAAACTGCTAATAAAGCTAGAAGCACTACAACCATGACTGTGACTACTGCTATACAACTAGTAACATGACTACAGCCTGCATAGTCAAATTGCAGGCCAAAAAAGAAAGCTGCACAGAACAAACAAAATTTAAAATAAAAAAAATGCACCTTTAACTTTTGAAGTACATGGAAAACAAAATTAGAAAAGAAAAAATATGAAGTACTGAATTGAAAATTTAATAAAACAAAGAATAGTTGTGAAAAAAACAGCTCAAAACTACAAAATCACATAACCAGTACCTACATTAATATCATCAAAAGATGGAGGATACAAAAACTAAAACCCGCATTTCTTGCTGATCAGCATGATTAAAAAATACTCACGTAAACTAGATCATATCCAAACAATCAAATTTTATGAAACTGAGAAAACCAAAACAAAAAATAAAAATTAAAAGAAAAAGAGAGAGGGAAAGAAATTCACCTAATCTGCACCACACAAATAACACCAGAATCAAGAAAAAAAAAAGGAAAGGGAGAAACAAAAATAAAAAATTATTTGGCTCTTACTCCAAACCTGAAAATGCAGCAGAAAAATTCAAAAGAAAACAGAATAACTCAGACAAAGTAAAACCATAGCTATTAAAAGGTTATAAGGAAAAGAACAAGTTTTCATCCAATTTATCCAAACAGAAATAACACCTGAACACACAATGAGATGACTCAGGATAAATCTCAGAAGATGAAACATAGAGCCACAGCGAGATATCCAAATCGAACACAAATTACTGTCATTATCAGCATAAATACAAACTGAAAACAAATGTATAAATTTACAGGAAAAGGGGAGATTAACAGCGATCATCCATACAATTGCCTGCTACCATAAATGGATAAAACAAGGAGATTAAAATACCTGCAAAAAGGGGAAACAGAGACAAACCAATGCACTTTCAGTATTTCAAAGCACGTTATTTCTCACATCTGGTATCTCCCCTTTCTTACCAAATATGTCACCAATAATCCCCGCAAGAACACAAACCACCCTCAAAATGGTGAAAACGATTGGAGTCCCGTAAAATTACAGCCCGCCCCATTATTTCAGACACAAGCTTTATGGCATTGTGGCAATCCACACACACTCTAAGGTTCTTAATCACCCTGATGGGCCGTCCCTCGGGCACATTCAAGATCCCAAACGCGACAGCCAGCTTCTCACTATGGTGCTTAACCATGTGCTCCTTCTCCTCCTCTTCCACATCATGTAACACCATCTTCGTTTCCGATACATGTCCAGCCTGTTTCATCCTCAGATCCAATTCCTCTAAGAAAGCATAGATCTTCTCTTTTTGGGGATGGTCTGAATCCCCAACAGAGAAAGCATGGACCTTGTTCTTATACTCAATCCAACTAAAACCGGGCACTTTCTTCACCCCTTTTTCCCTCATCATTACTCTCAATCTATCCACATCAGCCCATCTTCCAGCTTCCGCATACAAATTTGAGAGGAGAACATACATCCCTGAATTATCTGGCTCCATCTCAAAAACCTTCTCTGCTGCCATCTCAGCCAATTTAGTGTTCCCATGTATCCTACTAGCACCAAGCAGAGCACCCCACATCGTGCCATCTGGTTCAAATGATATGCTTTGCATGAGACACCACGCCTCTTCCAAGCGCCCCGCGCGACCAAGAAGGTCAATCATGCAAGTATAGTGTTGTCCTGCCGGTTCTATTCCGTAATCCCTCCTCATGGACTCAAAATACTCCATGCCTTTGCTCACCAACCCGGTGTGGCTACAAGCCGACAGAACCGCAACCATGGTGATATTATCTGGTCCAATATGTTTCTCTCTCATGGCTTCAAAGACTTGGAGAGCCCTGATGCCGAATCCATGGCGGGCATAACCCGCTATCATTGTATTCCATGTGACCAAGTCTTTCTCCGGCATTGTTTTGAAGGCCACATAAGCCTCGGCAATGCTCCCGCATTTGCAGTACATTGCGAGCAAAGCATTGCCCACAAAGGTGCATGTTGCATACCCCGACTTCACGAGGTGAGCATGCACCTGCTTCCCGCACTCCAACGCTGCAATGTCGGCACACGTACTCAAAGCACACGTGAAAGTTGATCGATTCATCAAGCATTGTCCAATCCTCCTCATCTCAATAAAGAGGTTCAATGCCTCCTCACTATGCCCATTTTGAGCATATGCCGCTATCATGGCTGCCCAAGAGATGGCATCTCGCTTGGGCATTTTGTCAAAGAGCCGCCGGGCGGTGTCCACATCGCCACTTTGACCGTGCCCAGTCACCATGGTGTTCCATGAGCAGGCATTCCGGCATGGCATCGCCTCAAACAACTCACAAGCCTGTGCAAGCCGACGCCCTTGGACATAACCCGCAATCATCGCATTCCATGACACGGTGTTCCTCTCAGGCATTTGGTTGAAAACATCCCTCGCCTCATCGAGCATCCCATTCTGCACATACCCCGACACCATCGCTGTCCAAGTGAATACATCACGCACAAGACACAACCTAAAAAGCTCATGAGCCTCCTGCATTTGAGCATTTTGAGCATACCCAGTGATCATCGTATTCCATGAGACCACATCCCTTTGGGACATTTTGTCGAATAGGTGTCGAGCCTCGATCAATCTCTTCCTCCGAACATACCCAGCCATCAAGGCATTCCAAGACACAGTGTCCCAGTCATTAGGATTTGAGGCAAAGAGCTTGCATGCAGACTCAAAACAACCATTCTGAATGTACCCTACAAGTATTGCATTCCACGAAATCGAGTTTCTCTTGGGCATTCGATCAAAAAGGTCCTTAGCATCATCAATGTATCCGGCCTGAGTGTAGCCCGAGAGGAGGGTGTTCCAGGAGACCACATCTCGTTCTGGCATTGCAGTGAAAAGGCGGCGTGCTGCCCTCAGATCATCATTCTTGACATAGGCAGCGAGCATCACATTCCACGAGACAAGGTCACGACAAGGCATTTGGTCAAATAGGCAGCGGGCAGAATCAATGTCGGAGTTTGAAGCATAGGCAGAGATGATGGCATTCCACGAAACAATGCTGCGGTGGGGCATTGTATCGAACAGTTCGCGTGCAGCTGCAATTGAGCCAGCCCTTGCCCGTTCGCTGATTGCAATGTTCCATCTCACTATCTTTGGGTCTGAATCTGAGATAGTTGAACGACTTGCCAAATTCTTGTTGTTTATTGTTAATAGCTGATGATAAGAACAGAAGCTGGTGGTCCTCACTGATAAAATGCATCTTTTCAACACACGCATTAAAGAATAGAAAAAGGCGGGGTAAAAGATAAGACACGAGGAAATGAAAGGTTACGAGTGACAGAGAGTCGCCAAACCATTCGAAACAGGGTTGAAGGACTACAAAGGCAGCAGAGAAACCTGCAAAAATACAAAGGATGTAAAACAAGGATCAATGATCTGGGTAATGCAAATCCCATCTCTTGCAAAACAAGGATCAATGGTCTGGATGACTTAAATCCCATCACAATTTTTACAGTTCTTCACATGATCTTGGCTCAATATTTGTTATAAGAAGAGTTTGCAGCAAGAAACTCCACTCAAAACTTAAACCCTTCAAGATCTAACTTTCTAAACCAACAGGTTCTCGCCATATAATAATAATGGCCATGTTTGGCAATGTTTGATAAACTGAGGTGCTAGTAGTTTCACCAGTTTGGTAATGGGAAAGCTGGAAACTGCCTGTAATACTGTTCATTATCTATTTCATTGATATGATGTGCGGAATGTAGTTTTTTAATAACATTTTGTAATTAAATAAGGTTCTGTCCATTGATCAATATAATAACAAACATGTAAATAGATTCAAGGAATACTTTATTTGTGCTTGGATATTTCATAAAAGTGTGAAACCCCTCTGATGCTATCAATATTTACATAGAGCATAACACCCGTAAAGCACAGAGTTGGACCTCTGTCCACCTCTATATATTGATAATATTAAAACAAGAACCCCATTCCATAACATCAGAAATTTTCTGATAAATTTTTCATAATAGAAGAACAATGAAAGACAAAAGAATATGATCTTTAGAACAGCTACACAGCACTCCATATCAGTGCACAAACAGGCATATAACCATGCAAGAAACCCCATTCAAAACTAAAAACCCTTCGTGATCTAACATTCTAAAACAACAAGTTCTCCCCATATAATAATATTAACGGCCATATCAATATATTATAGTCTAGAGCTCAGAAGCGTACATCATGGCTAATCTAATGACTGAAGAAACAGTAATCGAATGCACCAACATTCTATCCATAAGAATCAAGCAATTCAACCAAAACTAGCAATAAAGAGTTGCAGAGGGAGCATAATAAACCATTACAAATTTCTCACTCAAAGTTGAAGCAATTCAACAAAATAATTTCAAATAAGAACTTGTGGAGACAACATTTGAACCAAAGGTTCCCTTAAATGCCTCAAACAATACTAGTTCTCTTACAGCTTATTGCTCATATCCTTGAACCCTTATCCATCCCTTTCGAAATATTCGGTTTTTTTTTAAGAAACGACCTTATCAACTTACTACAAGCTTTAGATTCCAAACAAAAACAAAAATTTAACATCTACTAAATAAAAATTGCTCGAGCTACCAGGTGGCTTCGTCAACCAGAAACAAACATCAAGAGATCTAGGAGAAACTCACCCTTTGTTCGAGCTACCAGGTTGCTTCCTCAACCAGCAGAACAGTTAGAGAGGGTTTTGTTGAGGAGTTTGGCAGAACAGTAATGGCGGAGGTGAGAGAGAGAGTAACGTGAGGGGAGAGAGATCTGAGAGGAGAGGAGAGGAGAGAGAAGTGTAGGGTTTAGAGAAGAGCAAGAGTGTAGGTAAAGAGGGGAGTCGAGGGGAGGGGCTAGGGCTTTTTACTGGTTAAATTTTGGTTCTCTATACTAGTTCTATATTGGCAAAATATCGAACCACTCTCTTAACAGAATTCTTTAGTTTAGAGCGGTTCGATATTTGTAACTTCAAACCAATACCAGTTTATTTGTATTCTTCATTTTACTCTTAAAATAATAAGTATAAAAATCTACTGCTTTCAAATTGGTGTTTGTAGAAGGCGTCAAGTTTAAATAATCAAAGGGACACATTTAAATCTTACTTAAAAGATGCACTTCTTGGGGATCTACCCTCTTTTACTAACAAAAAGAGGAAAATAAAAACACGCAAACACGTTCTTTGTGGCCCTTAAATAAGATGCTCTAAAATTAGGCATGTAAATGGTTCAATTTTTAGACAGTCAAAATAACAAAGTCATTCTTTTTTGAGAAAAAAAAAAAAAAAAATTCATTTGTTCATTTTTAAGTGTATCTTAAAATGTCATGTCCAGTAATTCTTTCCAAACAGCTTTCACTTGAGGGAGGAAGTCGACAATACGCTCCCTCGAAATCACGATGTACATTTGAAGTGTGCGATCTATATAGCCCTAAACCTTTTTAGTAAAACATGGGTCCAATGCTTCAAGTGCCAAGCCCATCTTCAACTTGAAATAACGGTTCCGCCATATCAAAGATATTATGGTGAATAAAAAATACTATCATATAGAACTCATATTTTTAATTCTTAAAAATTAGTATATATTAAACTTAATTCCTCTTTGTTTTATATGTACTTTATTAATTGACATATGAGCATGTATATTGTGTTCCTATATAGCATATTGTACATCTACTCCCTCAATTGGAAGACCCATTTAGGATGATTTTTTCTAGCTGAAATCTTGGGAACCACCCAGGAAATGCTCATTTTCAAAAGAGAAAAATTGAATTTTGAGTTTTCTGGCACTTAAAATCTCACCCTTTAAGAATTGGACGGTTTTTATTCAATCATTATACATCATTCTAGTGTCTAGAGAGAGCAAGTTGGAAGATTTTTTTTTAATTAAGGTTAGTTCATGGCTTGAAAAGGTTACATCCCCCAATTTTGAGGTCCTAAAATTACTTCTAGATAAGGTTTAACTTAAGGCAATTAATAGACAGTATGGCCACATGGAAGCATGAAATCTTTGGGCTTGAAAAAATATATTGAATAAGGACCGTGCAAGTTTTAGAGGGTGAGATATAAATATAAAGAATTTGGAATTCAATTTTTTTAAAAAATAATCATCTAGTTCTTTTCAGCATTTTTCAATCTTAAAACCTCTTTTTTTTTCTTGTCAAAGATGTCAAATTCTGCGGTGCTAGGCTATCCATATACTCCCTCAGATAAAACCCAATCAAAAAGTAACTTTAGGACAACAAAATTTTAGGATATAACTAGTTCAATCCCTAGACTAACCTCGAGAAGTAAACAAAGATTGTCCAAGCTTTGGAGGGTGAGATTTAAGCGTTAGGGAACTCAAAATTCAAATGGTTTTTTTTTTTTTTTTTCAAAAATAGGCATCTAGCCGTTCTTAGGTTGTTCTCAAATTTTCAAATTGAATAAATCCTCTCAAATAGGTCGTTTAACTGAGAGAGTTGATATACAATATATGCTACCATAGGAGCATAGTATATATACTCTTCTTTTTTTCTTTTTATATATATTTTAAAAAAAATTTTGGATAGCATAAGCAAGATCTATTCCAATAAGCACTACCTAAAAAGTATCTACCTCCTCAAGATTCGGAGTTTAATCAAGACCCTTTGATCAAGTAAAAAATAGACAAATTTTGGCTATAACAACATCTTCCCTCTCACATCCACAAACATATATCAACACATATAAACATTACACAAATAAAAATTTCTCTCTCATATCCACAAACACAAATACATACCCACGAATATTATACCAACACGAACACCTAGTTAAGGTGATCTTAAGTTGAATACAGGAATAGAAGCATAAAACAACGAAATAGAACAAACAATGTTCTTTATTGGGGTCTATCCAAGGCTTTATTTATTTGTGGGTCAATAAATTCTAAGGTACTCGTAGACGCTTTGTTAATTACATTCAGTACCTCATACAATTGAGGGCCTTGTTTAACGAGTGATGTAGGTGTGCGAAGTCGTTTTAATTACATGGTCTTTTATAAGCATCAATCAGTTCGAGCGGGTAGCTTGAGTCGTTTCTAGTAGTTACAATGGAATGAGAGTAGTGGTCCACGTGTCTAGTTGATGAAGAGACAAGTATATTTGCGTGATCATTACATTATGTAGGTTCTAGAATATTTATCCCATCTTGTACAGCATCATATTTTATCTTAATACATTATTCTAGAAATATTTAATGCTAAATTGAGGAAAGGGCTTATGTTCTATCTTGCCCCAGTGGCAAAGTGTAAAATTGCTTCACTCTGAACATGTTACATCGCTTCGGTCCTCACGATTTTGGAGAAGAATCAATGGGTATTTCTATCAATAACATACTTTCAGATTAAACAAGGAATGAAGGCTAATGTCGTTCATCTTATGCATCGGAGGGCATAAATAAATATTTAGTAGAGGTATACGAATACGTGTGAGTGTGAGTAGGAACATGATATAACAAGTCATGAACTCATTGAAGAATTTATGAAGGATCCATCGAAGGTCAATGATATAGAATAAGGGGGTCATTCGCATGTTACCCCAGGCTAATGACTGCCAAAGCATTGAACTTATATTTGTATAAGTTCCAACTCTTAGTCTTAATTTGATAGTATAATTAGAATCTATTTTCAAGTTGTTTTATCAACATCCCACATTATAAGTATGGATTTATTTATTTATTGTGTAAATTTATTTAAATATAATTACAAATTTATATTTCTAAATTCTATATTTTTGTCCACACTTATTATTACATATTTAATTTATTAATTTATTTATATTATAAACTATATATTATATTATTTTTTGTTATAATTGTAAATTAGATTTTTTTAAATTTATATTATATTATTTATTGTTATAATTGTAAATTAGATTTTTTAAAATTAGATGATGTTATAAGACACATTTCAAATTTATTTTTATTTCTATAGTAAAATGATTATGAAATATAAACAAAAAAATTTAATTTCAATAGATAATATGATAGTTAGTTAGGTTTTGATAATTTTAGACGAGTAAAGAGAATTAATAAATGTTTGACGTGATACGAATTTCACTTTATATGGGAAATTATTATTTTTATCTTACAATATGGAAATGTTTTTTAATATTTTTAAAATTATTTTGATGTAATATTATAATACTATATTATAATTAATAATTATATAGACATCCATACATGAAAATAGTGTCTCAATATTCATTTGTTTTTTACAAAGTAATGAAAATAAATAATACACCACTCCTAATTTCTTTTAGAAACTAAAAGTAAATTATTTTTAGAGATTTATAGTGATTTTTTGAAAAAACATTGGGACAAATTTGCTGATTTGGTCGATTCTCCGATCCGACAGGAGTATAGGTGTGGACATTCACTGATCAGTTTTTTTAAACCTTGGCTGGAACAAAGGCATGAGACTTCAAGAATCTACACACATTCCTCCTGATTCCCACATTTTTTATATTTTTATTTTGTTCTATTTTTATTTTATAATATTTTATTTGTTTATTGGTTGATTCTCTCCGTTGGATTGCTAATCCAATAGATGATTTGTTGGTTCTAACGGGTTTACCAGATGGCTGATTCACTTGACTGATCTGAAGTTCTGAAAAATGGTATGGACGGCTTCTAGAAATCAATTGCACGGTAATCCTTCTCTAGGATGGATTTAAATCCATTTTCAAAAGATTGAAGTTTCTATAAGGTTGCATCCTTAAACAATCCAATTAAGGCGCACCTCTAAATTTATCATAAATGTAATATTTATATAATAAATTATTAGGATGGCTTAATAATCTCTTTTTATCCCTAATTATAAAATTTTGAACTTTGAAAATGGTTCAAATCAAGTAGATCTATAAACACATAAAAATCTTAAAAATAGACGGTTCAGATAATATGTTGTAAGATACAAACTCGAAATCTTGGACGGTTCAGATAATATGTTGTAAGATACACTATTTTGCAGACTCAAAATATTTTTTGTTCTTTTCATATTCATACATCTCGATGTCGAGATGATCAATTAAAGGGTTTTCCAACATCTAAACAAACTTTTGCAAAGGATTTTTGAGGTGCACTTTTAATTCTACATTTTAAGGTTGCAACCTTATATATATTTAAAAAAAAGAAAAAAAAGTTGTAATGTTATATAAATTTTTTCCTTTTCAAAGTGGTTTTTATACAAAGAAAAGTGTATATAAGGATGCTACTTTATAATGTAGAACTACGGATGCCCCGCAAAAATGCATTAGAAAAAGTAGTGTTAATGTCAAAAAACCCTTTGATCATCTCGACATCGAGATGTATGACTATGAAAAATAAAAACATTTTAAGTCTTATAAATAATGCATTACAATAGTTATCTACACTGTCC